AGCAATGGAAAAAAAACTTTCACTTACTGTGCAAAAAGAGAAAATAACGCAACGCTTTTGGCGCGAAATGATGTGATAAGCGATATCAATAGACCATTGACAATTTCTAGTGTATTTATTGATCGACCATTTACATTGATTACGCGATGTTAGTTACCAGGTACATATTTATACTTGGTGCTTAATTGTGCGCACACTTGCAATAACGAAATAACAGAGATCAAGTGAATTTAGCCACTGTAATTATGATGACATATGTAGATATAGCTAGGGTATCTGAATATGTACGACCTCTAAATTGCATAGATCAACGTTCGATCCCTGGTCAGAGCATCCAAAAAGAAAAGCTATTTCTAGTAGCAGTCGCTACTACTCCAAAGAGTTACCAAAAAGATAAACAAATGTTCTAGAATACCCAAATTATCGCAGTTGTTACGATTATCAACGCCAATGCTTTTTAGCAGAGGTCGAATCTCGTCAAAGACAATTGAAAAAGCCTTACAACTTGCCAAAATCTAGTTAAGAGTTTTTCGAATTCTCACCCGCCCTATATATAAAATCGCATCAAATTTCGACACAATCAGTATCGTATGTACTGACAGAGGTTTAGGGGTACATATCTACATATGTAGCTCAATAACAAAGTTCAATGTAATTTGTGAACCACCCTAAGTACCAACGTACGCTATATTTATGTATGTGTGCATGAGTCGGAACTAATTTCCCAGTGGGAATTAGGAGCACGTAATAATACCTTATTAGCAACTTACTCTTCACCTGGCAGTCATTACCATTTCCCTGCCGAACGTCCCTTACTTTTACAAAGGCATGGCCGCCTTATGTAAGTAGGAATTTAGAATGTACATTTGCTATCAAACATACTTCTGAGTCGCTTTACAAAGTAAGTTACGTGTAATACAGAGCAGTCGCTCGGAGTAGTTCGGTGCTTGGAAATAACTTCGGCTGCACGTTATTTTGCAACTGACAACGTAATGTGTCGCCGGAGGTGTTCATTTTGTGCTTTACTAGTAGATTACGCTGGTCATGATGACAATTTTGGTACTAAAAACTGAAAGAAAACATGGCTTACCTCGTAAGGTGCTTACCTATTTTCCCAGTGGGTTATAGAAGTCGTATTTTATTATTTTCTTTAAAATGCTAAAAATATTGTAAAGCGGAAAATTTATATAAATTACGTTCAGAAAATTGAAAAAAATTTCTCCTATCAAAACTTTTTTAATCAGTTTACACCTCTCAATAAAAAAAATGCTCGCATATTTATTGCTTTAAGAAAGTGTACTGCAAAAGCAAAATACTTTTTCAAGCTACAGTAGCAATGAAAAATATTTCTTCAAATTTGTCTTGAAAGCTTTATACTTAGCTGTTAACACGTTTTTAAAACAGGACAGAGAGCTTTTGTGGAAGCCATTTCGTGCTCATGCGCGTCATTGAAACGAATGCTCTTTCAGTGCCCAAGGAGGTTTGTTAGATGTTAAGTTAACGATGCAAAGAGAAAATATGCGAACCGGCTTAAGCTCAGAGACCGGCCGGCAAGTGTTTCCTTCCTGAAAATTGTAGTTGCCACAGTGAAAGTATTTTAATATTGACCATTATTTCAATGTCCAGTGAAAGCTAAGTATTTTCTACTGTATTTGGTTCTTTGCGAGGAAAATGGAAAGGAAGACTGAAGCCGGAAAATTTTAGTGAAAACTATTTTACAAACGCAGCTAGAAATATGGTAAATAATTGGGCAAAAAGTGCGATAGCGATTCAAAAATTGTTGTTAACTGGTTACAGAATCTCCCCCATGGTATGAAGTCGTAAGGACCGGTTACTCAATGTCCGGAGGTAGAAGTTTCGGTTAAATGAAACAACTGCTTTATCGTTTATATGTTATATGCGTGATGTCGATAATGACGTTTAACTGGGAGGTAGTGATGACCAGAATGTTATAAGCATGTCGATAAAGAGGCTTAACTTGGGATTAGTGTTAACTAGAGATGGACGTTTTCGACATCATCCAGTAAGTACTTGCAGCGAGAGCGTATAAAAATAAAAAAATATACCTTGGAGTTAAATAGTTCACCCATATTTTATTTTCACTAATTTTGTTAAATGAAATCATCCTTTTAAACACTTTGTTTACATTTGAATGTGAAACATAACCTTATTTTTATCATCTGCGAGAATTTGCAACTCTCTCGGATTGTTAGGTTCTCGAATTCGCTCTCTATTGCAAATTTTTGAATGCATTTCCATTAGAAACTTGCAAGTACTGGTAACAGAATCTCCCCCAGGTGTAGTAATAAGATCGAGAAGAAAGATTTGACGCTATATTATTTGAAAATTTGAATAATCTACAGACAATAAAGCGAGACTGCTATTTTATTACTTCACCTGTTTATAACTCATGATTTAATAACTAAATGATTGCTCACTAGTGACATTCCAGTTTTTACACTCCATTAACTTCCTTACAGAAGTTTTGCACACACACACGAACCCACACACAATGCCATGCGAAGGGATTTGACAAGAGGGAGCGAGAAAACTGTCTTCTGAGCAAATCTTTTATTATTGAATCATGTTTATAACTTCCCTATGCGACCTATTTTAAATTTTTTTTAAGTTACAAAATACTTGAATAGAGCCTCATAATACCAAAAGTAAAGAAAAAATATTCAAAAATTTTTTTGGGTAGCTATTAGGGCTGCCTCAAATTTGTGCAATATATTGTACAAAAGTCCGCAAAGGATTAAAAGCCCTCAAGAAAACTCAATAAATATTTCATTAAATTTGACGGAAGAAAACTTGTATTTCATTTAAAATGAAATTATTTATGCACAAACTAATTGATTTTTATGCAGATATGTTGGAATGAATATTTTATACCTTTTTAAGTATCTTTACTTAAGATTTGCATTAAAAATTTTAAATTTTCTCCATGAGAAGACAATTATATAAAAAAGTTTTGAAAAATTTTAGATAAAATTACAATATATATTGTACAAGACACTTACAACCTTTCAGTGTAAATGTACAATATACTGTAAATTTTTTTTTAGCACTCGGGAAAAATATTTTAATTCATGGTAGTTTAATTTTAACATTTTTATATGATGAAATGCTTTTTATATTTCCATACGATGTGAATTTATTGGCGATTTTACTTGACTTTCACGTATTTTTTGTACCGTAAATTGCCACAACTGCGTGTCACTGGAATTTTATAAAATGGTCTATTTTTAAATTAAGTTCTAAAAATATTTTTGAAACCTTTTCGATTTTCAAATTAACGTAAACTATTCGGGGCATTCCAAAACTTCATAAAATTTAATTTGTTTTCAAAAATACTAATAAGAGCACGGTTCCAATGTTACAAAAAATTTAATGTACATACTATATATTGTACAAATGCAGGGAAAGGGTTAAGGCGACAAACCCCTAAAAATGGGCGTGGGAATTGTAGGATAAAGTTTGCAAAACGCAGATTTTATTGCGGATTTCGGCAGAATATCGCTTTGATAACAACACTTGTTCCAGAACTTGTTCAATAAGAGAATATTCTAGAAATGGGCGTGGCTATATTAAAACCAAAGTTTAAAAATGTAGACTTTTTTGTGGATTTCGCCAGAATATCTTGACCATCTTATATATGGAAATGTTTAGCCCGTTTCTTAGGTTTAAAATTACGTTAAGATGAAGTTTGTACGATCAGCAGAACCCGAGATACATATAAACTTTAACAGATCATATCTCCGAATAAAAAAAGAATAAAAAAATCCTCGAACACGTTTTAGCTTATTTAATGTATAGAACCCATACAAAAATTTGAAGCCAATCGAAATGTGACACCAAATTTGGTGTCCGATATGAAAAAAGAATGTCTCATATGATTAAGCGAGCGATATTTGCGCATATGATAAGTATACATATATCTCTAGTTTTCCGAACATGAAATTTATAATGGAACTAATTTCTATGCTTAATTTTTTCGTCAAAGTAAATATTTTTGATACGATTGCAGACAATCCGTGCTTAATCGGTTTCGGTCGTTCGGGGCCTCACTTGATCTTTTCTCCGTGGGTGTTCGTGCTCATTTTTGAGCGCATGCGCAGTATTCACCGAAAGATTCCATATTGTACCCGGGTATTTGTTAAGTGAACAACTAATTTTCATAAAAGTAACATTAAATAAACTAAAGAAAAATACCCAAAACTTGCTAATGTGTCGCGTCCCAGTTTATATTTGGGTCACTGTATATTTGCTTAAAAAATCATTGAAATCGGCCCAATATTTTAAGACTTTTCGGATTAAAAAAAAATTGTAACACAGTTCGATATGCAAATTTTTTCCGAGATAAGGCAATTAATTTCTATTAGATTCTGGGTCGCTAAATTTGTAAAAATAGAAACTTATATACATATTTAAATCTAAGAAAATAATTAAAATAGCAAAATCGGCTAAAAACGGCCAATTTTTTTTTGGTAAAGCGGCTAACAAATCGGTTGCCGGCTAAACCGAATTTTCTCCAGCTGTTTGCTATCGCAACCGGCTAAATCTAGCCGGAAAATGACCAAACTGGCAACACTGCCTCTAGTATGCGTCTCATGTAAGTATATATTGAAACCCCCAGAGACAAACAAATATTTACTTAAAATCGTTTATCTCTAAAGACCAAAAGTAATTTCAGAAATTTTACTAGAAGTGCAAAAAATCAGCTTTAGTTTATTCCATAAAAGAATAAAACCAAGAAAGCAAATACAAAATACATTTTGGTTAAAAAATTCCAATTCTTTAAGAAAAAAATAACCGATAATGAGCACAATTTGGAGCAAGACTTAAAATGTTTATAATACATATTTACTTTTCAGTGAGGCACTCTCTCACAGTGTTCAATATTCACATAAAATTTATTATAATTTGTTTTTAGATTGCTTCGATCTTCTATTTAGCTCTTCCTTTTAATGTTTTAATATGTATGTATGTATACCTTCGCCTTAGGCGTCTCCGCCTCCGTTGCCGCCACGTGCTGTACTGCCACTACGCATTGTCGTACCGCCATACTTGCTGTGGTGCAAGTGTTCGTCGCTGCGCGGCGTCATGCCATCTGAGCTCATTTGAAATTCATCGTCATCCTCATCGAAGACGGGCTTGCTGATTTTCATGGCTTCTTCCAAGCGGTAGCTGTTGCTTTTGGGCAATGGTTGATCGTCGCATTTTAGTTCACTCATTTGCATTTGAGTGCAGAAGCGTTGAATGTGCTCCAGCACTTCCCGCATTCCAATCTCGGATGACTTTTGACCAATGCTGCGCTCTTCAGAAGAGGTCTTGTGGGGCTCCGAGGGCGACGATTTTATAGTGCTGCGGCAGGAACAGGAATTTTGTGCCTTTTCACATTCATTGATCGATGTACTTGGCTTCGATCCGCTACAATGTTTCTGGGGTTGCGCTGCAGGTGGATTTGGTGCAGCAGTTGGTTGAGTCCCTGACGTGGATGCCAGCATCGTATGGTGTTGGTAGAACATCTTGTCATATTCCGACTTCATGCAAAGATACCTAAAGTGTCGCGAATTCTCCTCGCCATAGTGGACAACCTCTATGGAGTAGATGAAACAAACACATCAAAATTGTACAGAAACTTTCAAATGTCGCTTACTGTTATTAATATCAGTTTGAAGTTTGTTCAGCAAGGCATTGGTGGATTTCAGTTCAGCTGAAAAGCGATCGACCTTTGCCGATAGTTCACGAAAATTCCGATTAAGTAAATCTGAGATAGATTTCTAAGAGGGAAACATTGAAAACTATGTAGTATTTTAGTTGTGCGGCGAACTCTTACCCCAATAGCGTTTTCCACGGTTTGGCGTATGAGTTCAAAAAACTCCTCAGTGTCATCGTCCTTATCATCGTCGTGATTTCTTGCGTGATGATGATGGTGATGATTGGCATGTTCTTTTTGACCACTACTATCGGCAAAGTTCACATAGTTCTTATTGTCGAACAAGTTTGGCACATTGTACACCGCCGATGTTGCACCATAGCTGTTCTTCTCCGGTCGCGTGGTTTTAGCTTTTGCAGCACTGCTATGATCTTTCTTGATATCATCCAGATTCAGTGCTTTCTCCTCCTTGCCGAAATACTTGTCTGGCTTCGTACTGCTGCTACCGGGGCGCGCGCTCTTTCGTCGGCCAGTCGTCATGCTGCTGGCTCCCATTGGGGCACCGTTTGCATTCAGATTAGCTGCGTTGGCGGACGCCGCTTGACAGTTGGTATTGTATGGCGTGTTCGAAGTGATAATGTAAGCTCCGTATTCTCCGCGGTCTCGCGAATTCTTTAGTATGCTATTGTTTACTTGAGATTTCATTGAATTCGCTTCGAATTTTGACGCATATAGTTCCTCGATGGACTTTCGTGGCCGTTGTCGTACCATTTTGCTAAGATAATCGAGTGCTAGCGATAGTGGGGTTTAAGTCGTATGGTTCTAGTCCTTACCGACTCTCCGGCTGAGACGGCACTTGAGCAGACACGTTGCAGAGATGATTTGGTAGGAAATGGTACCTTATAAATAAATAAGGGCGGAAAAAAATATTGAGACTTTTTTAAAAAGTGTTTTTTTTTTTTTTAATTTTTGACGAAAATGTCAATTTGTGTTTCATTGAATTGTGCCCGAAAAATTTAATACACTGAGGTGGAGAACTCAAAGTGCGTAACTCAAAGCGAATTAATATAAAGTGATAGCAGGAGTACAAAAACAAAAATTTACATGTATTTTGTTTTTGCTTCGGCGCATAAACTGTCAAAATCTGTAAGAGTGTGTGTAGAAATTCAAACAAAAATTTTTCAATTTGATATCAGAAGCCGTGCTGCGAAACACATACACAAACTCAGCTGACCTAGTAACACCACCTTATATAAATTCGCCTTGGCGTAACTTTTGTTAAAAAAAAGTTTGATACAAAGACACGGCATGCTTGACCATCTTGCGTTTAATGCTTAATACGAAATTCTGCAAATTGGGATTGATAACACCCTACACAAAACATATGTACATATTTGATGCGTATTATTTTGGAAATCTTGTATTTCTGTACATTACCATTATATGGGAGGTAGGCGTGGTTATTGCTCGATTTCAAAAAATTGCAAGGTAGGCAATATCGGCCTACACGCGCAATCGATCGAAGAAGTTAGTTGGTAGGCATATTGAAAATTGTTAAGTTCAGTCTATTTTTGGGCGGTGCATTGAGCACACAATAAGTCTACTTTTATAACATAAATTTAGTGGTGCATTGAGCACACGAGAATAAAAAAAACTTTTATAACGTTGTGAAATCGTTGTTTGAATTTGATCTCCAGTGAACGGTTGGTTCCCGGCAACTTAAATTTTTTAATTCACCTCGATCACTGAGACTTAACTTATATGTATTTCATTTTTTATTTTAATAGGCCATCGTCAAATTTTAGTAATTCTTCCTTGAAGGAAACAGAGGAAAAGAAAGTTGCACTCACCCACTAGTAAAATACAACATTTTGACATTCAAGCACCATTCACAGCTGTTGAAACAAAACCACCTTATATGAATTCGCCTTGGACTTAGAGATATAAAACATACACACACATCATAAATTTACAATGGCTTTGTGCAATTGTGGCAATTCCAGACGCATATAATTTCATCACAAATTTTTAAATCCTACGCAAAGTGATGATCAAGATTATATTCCCCATTGAAAAATAGATGCTGCATAGACTGACAATTTTTTACACTAATTTGAAGGAATAAAACTTTTATTTCATTATTAAATTATTAATGAAATTATTTATGCACAAACTATTTGATTTTAATGCAGATATGTTGGAATGGATATTTTATAGCTTTTTAAGTATCTTTGGTTAAGATTTGCATTAAAAAATATAAAATTTTCTCCATGAGAAGAGAATTATATAAAGAAATTTTGAAAAATTTCAGATAAAATTACAATATATAATACAAATGACCCGTTTTAATAAACCTTCCCGGTTTTTCTGCCTTCAGTAGATCAAGAAATCAAAAGCCTACCCTTTGCTGCAGCAACAGCGCACAGTCATTTCAAAAATTGCCTGTTCAACTGCAACCTTTGCGGACACTTGTACAATACTTACGACCTTTCCGTGTAAATGTACAATATATTCTACCTTTTTTTTGAGAACTCGGGAAAAATATTTTAATTCATGATAGTTTAATTTTAGCATTTTTATATGATGAAACGCTTTAGATATTTCCATACGATGTGCTTTTATTGGCGATTTTACTTGACTTTCACGTATTTTTTGTACAGTAAATTACCACAACTTGCGTGTCACGGAATTTTATAAAATGGTCTATGTTTAAATTAAATTCTAAAAACATTTTTGAAACGTTTTTGATTTTGAAATTCACGTAAACTATTCGGGACATTCTAAAACTCCATAAACTGCATTTTTTTATTCATTCTGAAAGTTTGGAATAAACTTTTTTGTTTACTTATTCTTTAGAACGTTCCTGATAATATGTTAACGTATGTATGTATATTTCAAACGCATTCTATTTATTCTGGCTGTGGCATGGGATTATCTGGAATGTATAAAGAAACGCAGCCAAAGTTTAATTTGTTTTCAGAAATATTAATAAGATTTTTTATAGCCCGCTTCCAATGTTACAAAAAATTAAATGCAGGAAAAGGGCTAAACAATAGGTACGAATCATTAGTTATGATATCCCCTTCAAATTGTATAGTAGGTAAATGAGTTTTTCAGGATGCTAAAGTTGGTCGACCTTTATAATTTCGATAGTCTTCGATTAAGACATAGCCCAATATTCGCGTTGTTGGCAAGCTTGATATTCAAATACATACAGAATTTACAAGCCATATTGTGAACTATGTTAATACCCAGTGGGAATTAGGAGCACGTAATAATACCTTATTAGCAACTTACTCTTCACCTGGCAGTCATTACCATTTCCCTGCCGAACGTCCCTTACTTTTACAAAGGCATGGCCGCCTTATGTAAGTAGGAATTTAGAATGTACATTTGCTATCAAACATACTTCTGAGTCGCTTTACAAAGTAAGTTACGTGTAATGCAGAGCAGTCGCTCGGAGTAGTTCGGTGCTTGGAAATAACTTCGGCTGCACGTTATTTTGCAACTGACAACGTAATGTGTCGCCGGAGGTGTTCATTTTGTGCTTTACTAGTAGATTACGCTGGTCATGATGACAATTTTGGTACTAAAAACTGAAAGAAAACATGGCTTACCTCGTAAGGTGCTTACCTATTTTCCCAGTGGGTATGTATACATATATGTATGTATGTATGTATGTATGAACATAACCATGGCGACGATTAACCAAGCCAAACACTGTCGACAGTCATCAAGGCAATGAAATTCTAAAGCAGTAAACATGAAGCCATCCAGAAACTAGCATTCGGCTACCAATATTCTGCAGGTTGGGTCAACAATAAGCCATATGTATCAGTTCGAGCGATGAATCCGCGCAAGTAACAGAAATAAAAATTGTCGTAATTCAACTGCGCGCATTTAGCAATTGTTATTTACCCTTTTTAGCGTTTNCTAGCATTCGGCTACCAATATTCTGCAGGTTGGGTCAACAATAAGCCATATGTATCAGTTCGAGTGATGAATCCGCGCAAGTAACAGAAATAAAAATTGTCGTAATTCAACTGCGCGCATTTAGCAATTGTTATTTACCTTTTTAGCGTTTTTTTTTTTTGTCGAACGACCTTACAAAGGGTAAGGGAGCATGCGCTGTAACCTGTGGCCACTTTTTATTTGAGCTTAAACCTGCTGAAGCGTAAAGTCCGACTCACTCAAATAATACAATTGGTTGGTAAATAAAGTGTAGAATGACAGTGAAAGACAACGGTAAAACAGTTAAAATTCTACTGCCGCTCAAATAGTACCTGTGCATAGAGATCCGGCTCATTTGATAAAGTGGTAAGGTAACTAACTACATAGCAAATGCATAAAAACCGTCAAAAGTAATGTTCATTTGTGCACACAAAACGGGCATCAGATTAAAATTAAAACAGTCTGAATTTTATTTATTAAAATTTTTTTTTTTTTATCTGATTTGCATATAACTGTAAACGGCGGCCAAGCAAAATTATTGGCAGTATTGGCATAGAAACAGTGCTTCGAGGGCTAATACCATGACAAACACATTGACAACATACAACTGAAATGGATTTATCTATTGATTTTTAGATTTAACCAGGGACAAGTGCCCTACAAAAGAAGACAAATGTGAAAAATTACAATGAAGAATGTGTAGAAAAAGAAAAAAAAAACCTAACCACTGTTTTAACTGAAGCTATTAGTAGCAAGTAAACATGTACATATGTATGTATGTACATATGCATCTACATACGCTAAAATGTTACCAGCCAATTTTATGCTTAATTGAGCACCTCAAAAAAGCACGTTCGTCAAACATGTACAATGTACAGAATAATGTAAGCAGTAAATACATTTGTATGTATGTATGTATGCCCAAGTACATACAATGCATGTATGTACGTACATAAGTGTGTGCCAGCAGAAATTATGACAATGTGCAGTTAAAAATATTTAAAAATGTAACTCAATACAATTTTAAAAACGTATAAGGTGGTGGTAGAAAACAAAGTGGATAGATACGAGTACTTAATAACTAAAAACACTAGTGGGTCATTAAGTGCAAATATGTATATCCACTTCTGTAGGAAACAATAAAAACATGTACATATGTATACGTAATGTGAAAATTTTCTGGAAAATTGAATTGGAATTATTTATTCGTTTTAAGACTGTCACAGCGTTTGCCAAATAACACAATTGGGTGGTTCACAAAGTGTCGTACGTGTTGTATTGTCGTATGTTGTAAAGTTTTTAACGGCTAAATAAATGTTTAGAGGACTTGAAATCACCACCAACTATTTTTTAACGGTGTGAAATTTCATAATAAAACTTTTATGTTAGCTTGCGAATTCCTTAAATATAGTCTTAGCCGTTTAAAGTTTATGACATACAATAGTACGACAGTATACAACACCTTGTGAACTCCCTAAATGAGATAAAATAATAATAAAGGCATCCAAAATGCAACGCCATATAGACCAACCTGTGAGCCTATCAAGCAATGAACAAACAATTAAATTCTGCCGACAAAACTCTAAACGTTGTGCTTTACAAGTATACATTTTTTTATTTCTTCACTCATTTTCCCCAATCAATATTTATTTATATTATGGTGGTATATTCATAGTCAAAATAAAGTCGACTTTAAAGATAGTTAAGGCTTGTTGACATCATTTTCGATAGAATATCAGTGAAAAAAATTACAACTAACTTTAGAAATTACTTTTTCCGTCTACAACTTACGTTGTCCGTCTTACAACTGATTGTTTAGATATGAGATTTTTCATTACAACTCCTTCATTTATGCAGCTAGAAGCAAGAAAGAGTGAAAATGATTACGATCGGGTCACTATAACCTATAGCGTCCATACAACTGATTANGCTCCCAAAGAACTAATTTCAAATGCAGTAATCTGTTAAAGTAAAATTTTCTGATGTTCAAGAAAGGTATGAAGACAGCACTGCTTTAAGTTAATTTCTATTTTAAGAATTTTAACTTTAATGCGGGCTCGTTCTTATTTGTTTTTCGTATTTTTATGGCCGAGTAATAAATCATATCCAAGCTCAAAAAATTGTTGATTATGATAAAAACTTATTAATTACACTGGCCAACAAAATTACATTTTTTCTTCTGATTCTAAATATATGTACCCTAATTTCTTTTCTAGCAGCTCTTGTTTACGAGTTATAGCTTTCACTTTTGTAAAACCACCACACATGATGGCTGACTATTGTTGGGACATTCAGAACAGCTCTCTGGCTACAACTTCTAAAATATAAAAATAGTACATTTAGACTTTGTGCAAAACTCAGAAAAATTCAATAAATTTTCATGCAAATTTGCAACTTTTTAATCATATTTTTTAGAATTTTTTCGAGTATGTAATTTTGTAGTCAAATAAATTTTATAATGATAAAGTTTGAAGTAGCTAGGAATTACCATTGATTTTTGGCATTCTTTTCACGCAATTTCTTATATACAAAAAAAAGTTCGAAAATACGAAAAAATGCGAAATACCATTTGTCATAATTCCAAACTAGAGCTGATACAGACATTTCATGCACAGAGTTTAAATGGTCATTATAAATTAGGGTAGTATCATGTAACATAACCTAATCATCAGAAACGCTGTTGTGCGATGTTATTATTTATTTCTATTATTGTTATGAATATTTTTTCCGTTTTCTTCATAATGCTTACTTACGCTGTCTGGTTAACAGCAAATATGTACCTTAAAATGTGCACAACATTGCATGAATGTTCATATGAATGTACATAGATATATTCCAGTGTCTCCTTGCCTTTACTATTCGAATTGCTGTAGGTCTAATGCGATTACAGTGAATAGTAAATCTGCAAAATACGTATACTAAAACGCATACATGTGTATGTTCGTTTAAACATCTGCATGCGTATATACTAAAACGCATACATGTGTATGTTCGTTTAAACATCTGCATGCGTACATATGTATTCGAAAATAGGAAATAAAAATAACCTTCCTGTACATATGTAAATGCCACCATAAACAATGTATATTTACATACATTTGTACATACAGACACACTTAATGGCGGGCGCTATGCAGAAATAGGCAAACCAAAGAATGAGGAAACAAAACTTGCAGATTAACCAGCACAATTTGCATAATTCAGTTAGTGGTGCCCCAGATCTAAGATAGAATGAACGTTATTATTACAGAATACTCTTGCTATGACCTCAATATCTAACCTGATTCGCAAACATAATTATCTATCCAGGTATCAAGCAGACACATTTTCAACCAGGAAGCGTTACAAATGAGGTAGAAGTTCCCAAATAAAAAAGTATGGCAGCAAGAAAAAATGGTGAGCAATATTCTCTACATACACTAAAAAAAAACTTAATTGCCTTCAGGTAAATCCATACATCTTTTCAGTTTTATTATGGCCTCTTGTGTTGGCCTCAACATTTTGCTTAAATTCAATTGGTGTTTGCGCGCAAGGATCTACCCTTAAAACGGGCCTACTTAAAATTACTAAACCAACGCCGAGAACCCTGTATAATGGTTACGCAACTAGAGTTGCAACAGCGGCAACAAGCACCACACCGCCGCCGAGTTCGTCGACAACGGAGATCACTGATAGCAGTACATCGGCCACCATACCGGAGATTTGCATACATGGCTTGAGAGTAATGCCCACCGACATGGACCAGGCACAAAATGTGCGTCATGAACGGGACTTTGTCCACATTATTGAAGGCGATGCCATGCTCAGCATTCTGACAACAGACGTCGCCTCGGTGCTTTTTGTTGTGAACCGTATTAACCGAGCAAATCTGTTGGATGCAGATTTTGAAATTGGTGAGTCAAATTTACCATAGGCTGGCTGCTGAATTTTGCTGTACATAATATGAAACTCAAAAACCTTAAGACAAGCTGCCTATCCTGCCGTTAGCACACTCATTAACGAAATGTCAAACCAGTGCTGCCAGCAAAAGCATTGCTGTCGTGAAAGTAACATATGCAAGCATATTTAATTACGAATTTAATATAGAAGTTTCTTATATATATCTGATTATAGCTTCAGAAAATCCTTTAATATTTACAGGAGTCCGTGCTATCCTCATAGAAGATGAAACAATTGCCGAAAACTTACTCATGCAGGAGGTGCAGTATCTGCAGCAGTGCATAACTCACGCCATTGGCATATTTGTCGACCATGATGTATACAAGAGTTCAGAACAGATCATCAAAGATCTGGAGTACAATATTTGGCCCATACTCTCGCCACACGTATATCTCTTTCCCAAAGTTGCGCACTTATTACATCAAATGCCTTGGGGAGAAAGTATAGCTTCTGTGGAAATTCTCACTGAAAATCTGGCAACTTATAATGAGTTTATGGAGGCAATCCGGCATGAACAAATGTGCTTAATGCATTTCAAGAGCGACAAAAATGTCTACATCCTTTTCGGTAATAAGATGGCTCACCATTTTGAAGAAAATGGCACAATTTTCGCAGTTCCCACCGATCGCGCAGATCGTACGTTTATATCAGGTAAAACTCGCCAGAAACAAGGACTAAACTCCGTGTTTGAGAATTCAATAGCTCATACATAAAAAAGCGTCTATAGTATTGAATATTTTTCACTACAGATCTACCAGATAAATCATATATACTTATGGAGCGCGAAATAGATGCGGATGCGATTGACGGGAATTCTACCTTATCTACATTAGACGAAACATTTAAGGGCAAATCAGTTCAACCATCTCGAGTTTTCGCTTTTGCTCGTCCAATGCTGGAGCTGGTGCGTTGGCTTAAGGGCTCGTTGATGCGCAACTGTAAGCGGGAGCAAAACATTTTCATATTCGAGTCATGCTTCAATTTTCTCACGTTCATCGCCGACTGGCAAACGCCTGAGTATCGTCAGTACTACGAACCTGCAAAAATTCTAGAACTATTACACATGCATCGATTTGCTTCCCTAATGAACTTCCAAATGTATCAGAAAGTCAGTGAAAATGGTCACGGAACTGCAACCGTTTCGTCTGGCGAGGATCACATAGAACTGCGGGAGATTGCGTCCCAAAACTTTGTTACCAACATAACTACTTTCTATCATTACAACAGAGCGAACAGCACAAGTCTAGAGCTGAAACCGAAGTTCGGACAGGTCTTCAATTGCCAGTACAGTGCGGGGGAGAATGCAAGGTATCCGTTTTTATTCGATGGAGAATCAGTGATGTTCTGGCGTATTAAGCCCGACGCTTGGGTAGCCACCGGGATGACGGCCGCTATTCTCGGCTTAATAATAACCTTGGCCATATTGGTGTTCATAGTAGTGCGCATATCCTTGGGCGACGTGTTCGAAGGCAACCCGGTCACCTCGATTCTCTTATTGCTCTCTTTGATTTTACTATTCACATCGTTTGTGCCATTCTCTTTGGAGTACATTGGCGAACACCGTAACTCGCACGTGACTTTCGAAGATGCCGCCACACTGAACACCCTTTGCGCCGTGCGCGTTTTCATTATGACCCTCGTCTACTGCTTTACATTTTCGTTGCTGCTTTGCCGTGCCGTAATGCTAGCATCGATCGGCTCAGAGGGTGGATTTTTGTCCCATGTCAATGGCTACATTCAGGCAGTCATTTGCATTCTCAGTATCTTCGTGCAGTTGGGTATGTCCATACAGCTGCTTGTGATTATGCATGTCGCCACTGAGAGTATATCATGTGAGAATATGTACTATGGACACTGGCTGTGGGTTTTGGTCGCTTACGATTTCATCTTGCTGGTGGGAGTTGTCGCCCTGGTACCGTTCATATATCGCTCACAACGGAATTATCGGGAAGGAATCCTCATTGTTATTGGTGCAGTGCTGACTTTTCTCATTTGGATTGTTTGGATTGGAATGTCATTTTTCGGAGATGAGATACGTGATGCAGCTATTCCTTTGGGTCTTCAGGCCACCGGTTGGGCCATATTGGTGGGAGTGCTTATTCCGCGTACGTTTCTTATCGTGCGCGGTATTGAGCGCTCGGACATTGCTCAGGCGTTGCCATCGCTTACTTCGCTTGCCTTCGCGCAGAATAATCAGTACTCTTCCGAACAGGTAAATGCTGAGACAGAATGGGCTCTTTTGAAACTTCAACTACTGATACATGACCTGTGTTCTCTTTCCATAGAGCGTTTATGAGTGTGTTAATCCAGCTATGCGTAGTTGCTCGCAAGCAGAAATGGCCCAGTCTCCAAGTGAAATTCCTACACTTCCACTGCGCGGTGGTGGTCCACGACGTCAACAATTTTTTGCCAACCTGCGTCAGGCCAATGCCAACATAAATCCACAGAGACCTCCACCTCGTCCACAACGGGGAAGCCCCACGAGATCAGAGTGTTCATCTTTACCCGACTCACCCGAGAGCAGTAAAATAACTCGATTCTAGATGGGAAGGAATAAGTGAAAGGGAGAAATTTTATATTACTTTATTGTATTTTAACGGTCCATCATCTTTGTATCTAGTCATTGTCTTTTGAAGACTGTCATTTTTATTACTCATCAACTCGAGGCATATTATATACAAATGCATATTTTACCAAGTCAGTAATAAATCCTTACAAGTTTAAGTATATTTTGGGAAGAATAAATTATTTATTTGCAAAGTTCTACCAATATAATTAGCTTTAATATTTACAGAGAGAAAGAGAGATTCTATTGCGCGCACGTCCTTATAAAATGTAAAGAAAGCTGATTTCAAAACTTTTGTATACGAAGCTTGTTTCCAACAGCTTTTTAACGAAAGCTTTTTTTAAAATGCTTATACGCCAAAAAAGCTGCTTCTCTTTCGACACACACGTCGTATGTATGCAAATAGGAGTATATGCGTTTTGCATTAGTTCAGACAAATTATCATTGCATCCATCATTAAGTTTATTTATTTCCTTAAAATGGGAAACAATATTTATGTGCGCATTCAGCGGCTTTGAGAATAAACAACCGAATAAGTAAGTAGATACTAACACCACTATTCGGTGTAGAATCAAATGTAATCTGGCAGCACCTTTTTTAACTTCAATGAAGCTCTGTTGGGTTCAATGTTGTTTGACTCACTTCGTCCAGTTCAGTTTTTGACGTTAGCTCGAATAGTCTGGACATAACTTTATTTCGACGGCATTGCTTGTCTTTGCCTGTAAAAAATTTTCTATATAAGGAATTGTGAAAAACCAGGTCATTAAACTTAATGGCTTAGTGGTTAGTAAGATTTACTTTTGCGTACACGAGTGAAATTCATTTTTTTTTCATGAACAGAAAACCTTCGCGACTTTAAGCTTTTAGAAAACACAAGTCTTTTAGATAAGTAATACATTTTTAATAAGTAATACCAAGCGTTTAAGAAAAACTCTGTACATGAGCTCTGAGTGTGTACATACATATATTTCTTGGCAAAGAATCTGATTTATTTTTAGAAAAAATCGCAGAAGAAAAATGCCTTGCCTTTCTACCCCATTGGGCAAAGCTTTCATGCTTTGTCCTCGTGGTCTGCCGCCTTTCACCTCTCTTCTATCCATTGCGACTTGACACATTTCAAAGAATAATTTCAGTGCATATCCTGCATACTCTGTTGCTCTCTGCCGCTGTCCGTTTAAGCTTTGCTGCTCGTTAAGTTGGCTAGATAACAACGAATACATATGGATTTCATGAAGAAATTAAATTTAGAATGTGCATACATACATATACATACATATGTATATGCACATACGTGGGAGTGTGTAAAAGGAACATTGCATTAAAGTAAAACAGCCTCCCGACTTTAACTGCAAACTGTGTGTGTATCAAACGTGCAATGGATATTTAAAGGAGCAGACATGCAAATAAAAACTAACTAAAAGAGAAAGTATTGAAATTTGTTAAACGGGAAAGTTTTTGAATAATGTTGGTGAATATTCTTCACAACGACAAATGCCGATAATGTAAATGACGCAACTCTTTTATGAAACCACGCTAAAAATTGTTTCTTGTATACGATTTTAACTTTATTAACGAACTTTGTGCATTTTCTACCAGACCCATTGCTACTCGTTGCTTCTTTTTTCTTAGTAAGCATCAAATCTCTTACAAATGAAATGGTAGTCACAGGTTATAGTTTAATAGTTACATTTGGCTTTTCGCAGAAAATATTTGGGTTTCTGTCTATAAATTAGTCATTCGTTGCCTAAATTCATTCAGCCAACTACGCCAGGTCAACGAAACCAGCGCAACGACCCCATTCCAGTTGCTAAAGTGTGATAAATTTTCCTAATCTACGCGGACTATGGAGGAGCTTTTCATTCATAAAAATTTAAAAGCTTTCCTACCGAAAGCAAAACACAGTCGCTTTGGCGTGAGAGCGCATACCGTGTAATGACAGTTAGTATCTGCGACATGTCGTGGAGCACATTTTGTTGAACCAAAATAAAATGAGAGCGAAGCCTTTTTTGTTTACATGAACTTAACGAAAGTTAGCATTCGCAAAAAATAACACGAGCAGATTGTTATACTTTGTGATTCGGCATATGTTCGAATAATTACATTGAACGTACGCACATACATATGTACATATCTAGCTGCATATATTTCAGGCTCAATGCTATCGCTAAATATAGATTTATAGAACACAGAAAGGAGGGAAGAGTTCAACAAAATGAGCCTACACATGAAGTAAATATTTTAAATATGTATAAGGCATTTTGTCGGAAAGGAACGTGAAATCAAGTACTCCAAAAATATACACAAAACATCTCGAAAACCATGTAGCCCATATAGTTACGGGCTCGTAAAGCATCTGACATTTAAAAACGAGTGCAGTACTTAGCAATGCGGTAAACTGGAACGAAGTGTAAACGCGAAATAAAAGCGTTTAAATCTAACTTAGAGCGTGATTGAGTCGGTCACAAAGTTCGCTGCGAGCACGGTATACAGTAACCCACCCGACCAACGTACACGAGAATGCATCCGTTTTAGATATTTTACCAACGCTTTCACTTACAAACCTATTGAGAACGGGTTCCGAAAAAGTATCGTAATAGTATTACCCGTTGCTCAGTTTGTGGCAGCAGAATTTTCGTTCTCGACATGCGTTTTCAAAAGGTTTTTCGAAGTGTTTTCGATAGTCGAAACGTAACTCAGGCGGAAGTTATTTCGATCCGTTTCTCTATCGAGAAATTAATGAAAACGGCAATGTTTTCGAACAGTTCGATTATCGAGAAAGTAGCGAAAACGAAAAACGTTTGAAAACGAGAAAACGTTTGAAATACGAGACTCTTAAGTGAGGCGGAGCTTGCGGGTAAGAGAAACTATCGTAAAACTCGTAACATCCGCTAACATACGTTTCTTGGTCGGGTGGGAAGCGATTATGACCGGATGCAGTTCCTACATAAGTCAACCGTGTTCCGAACACAACTTTGAGTGAACTGAGATGAACTGGTTCAGCCCTCTCTGTTTGTAAACACGCTAACTCGAATAAAATTTAGATATTTTAACGAAAGTCGGTGTCGAAGTTGCCTTTGGTATAATTTAGGTTAGTGTTAAATTTTGGCGAAATCTGTTAATAACCACGCCCACCTCCCACGTAGTATTTAACATATTTTTGTTTTATTATTATTTTTTTTTTACGAATTTCGCTGTTCAAATTTAGGTTTCAAATATATTTGTGGGTACTTTTGCATCAGTCATTGCCTATGGGTTAATGATAAAAAATTCCTAGACATTCACAATATCTCATGTATTAATTTTCAAATAAGTATATTGTCAATGGCTGGTTTACTGTATACTGTGGCTACGAGTAAATTTTGAACAAGTTTGAGTTGAATAAAATTTCAATAGCCCATGAATTTAGTGAAATTTTTGAAAAATGTATAGAAAATTTTGACAATCGCAAATTCAAAATTTTTTCTTTATATAAATTTTCACTGTGTGACTGATTTTAAATACATAATAAAATGGAAAGGAATTGCGAGGTGCGTTGTGTTTGTCAAGAGTCTGGACAACAAACTTGTGCGTTATTTTAAACTTTCGAATTGTCAAGTGTAGCGTCAACGGTGGCAAATTGCTGCGATGTTTCATTAGGGGACTCTTCACGTGTGGTCGTGACCTTATTTGTTGCCTATCACAGCCGAGTATTTCTAAGTGGACGCGTTTGGTCCCAGGTGCAGGATTTATCATACTGAATATGAAAAGAAAATCTCCCTTTGATATACCTACATGGATAGGCCAAATTTCAAATATTGGTCTGATAAAACCTAAATCAGTATTCCTTGTTGACATAAAGAAACTGAAAGTAATTTTTAATACATTTAATGGAAAGGAAATTTCGAAAAGCAAAAATTTAATATCTTAATTTTTGAAGTTGAGTTCTGATGTAAATTTAGAAGAATCAAACTTTTTTTAATATTCTTTAGAATTAAGTATTTGAATAAAAAATAAATGCTCAAAAACATTGGGATAGTAAAAGCAAGAAAATTGTCAAAACGGATTGATAAATGAGTGTGTTTCATTTAGTGTGTAATTTTGTGTAAGTGTGCATTTCCACATTTACATTAAACCGAAAATTCAATAAATAAAATGAAGCTGATTCTAATGAGATTTAAATATTTTCATATTTACAAAAACTTTCATTTCAAAGATGTTGAGTTCTATCAAATATGGTAAATGCATAACAAAGGGTTAATTTCTTTGTTTACATTTGTTGACATTACAGTCAAGTATGAGAGAGCTCGACTGAATTGTCACTTCTACCTTGTTGAATATGCCTTAACACAAATATAGAAAAACAGCCAGAAGCGAAAAAAATAATAGGGCAATTCATTTAAACGCGTAAAAGCCTCATATCTAAATGTTGGGAAATCAAGTTAGATTTTTTCTATGAAGAATGTAGAGTTAAATTCATGTAATTGACATTGCAACATATGTGGTTTCCATGTATGCATGGGATACTGGGTTTTGGTATAACAATAACTAAGAATTGGTATTAGGTGGAATTGGCATTAGGTGGACGATGTTTCGAATCTGAATTGATTAAAAACTTTTTTTTGTGAATTACAATCAATATAAAAGACACTTTTTTAAAATATTGATTTCGCTTTAATTCATAATATCTTATTCCCAATAAATCTACGGTTGGCAAAAATTATTTAATTTCACACAACGGATTGCCAAATTTGTCCCACCATATTAAAAAATTTTATTAACCAGTTTTCCTTGCAGAACTTTGTTGCCGATTCACACACGCCCTTCCTACAATTTTTAGGGTAAACATTCAACAATTGTAAATAAGATGCGAGATGCCTATAACAAAGGTCTTGATCTTGACACTTGGTTTTATATATCCATATATGTATTTAATAATAATAATAATAATAATAGATTGGCGCTTACACATATTTTAGTGTTTGGCCGAGCTTCTCCTCCGATTTGTGGCCAGCGCCTTGATGTTGTCACACAAAGGGGAGGGACCAACAGTTTTACGACGACTCTGAACGGCGATTGTATTTTTATGAGAAGTTGGTTTTCATGGCAGAAATACACTCGGAGGTTTGCCATTTCCTGCTGGCGAGCGCT